AACAAAAGTAGAAAGGAAATACGTAAAAAACAGAAAACAACAATAATTATGTGACTTTCTACCCTTGGAAAAGAAGCAAAACCAAGAGCAGACAGCGATCAGAAACACATAATACAGCTTTTACACAAAAACGAATCGCGGTGAAGACAAGAATGTAAAACAAACAAATGAAAAATGAATATCAGATTCTAACAACGTTCATTGATCGGTTTCAGTATAAAAAGTTGATACACACATTAATATATATACAAACTAATAGAGGAAAAACAAAGTATTACACTGATGAAGAGTACGAGCAATTTATCGACTGCAATAGTTCTACTGTATACTACTGAAGTTCCTGCCAAACTACTTACTTGGGAATTTGATTTATATTCATCTGGCATATTCGACTTTTATAACTTCACTTGCTCGGGTAGGCGCCTAAAGAATCCAATTCAAACAATAAGAGTAAGTACAAATTACTTTTTAAAAATACAATCACTGACCTTAATCGCTTTAGAACCGACAAGTGCAAGAGTTGTTTGTGGATGAGAAATAATTTGCATTGGTTGTGTTTGTAACTGTTGCTGTTGTTGAAGATGAAGATCAGTCGCTGCTGATGGTTGTGCTTGTTTTTTAGAGCCAGCTGCAAAACGTCCGCCCGATCCTCGAATACGGTTCATTGCATGACGATGACGCGATTCATGTAAAAATTTCTTCAGTAAAAAGCAAAACAGAGAAACAAAAACAATAATTTATCTGTTAAGTCTGTTTGTTTGCAAGTACAAAGTTAGAGTATCTTCAATCTACTTCTTAATCTATCATTGCGTCCTAATTTATCAGTGGACGCGAGAAGAAACTTATACACGACATACTTTTCTTTCCCTTGGTATTCGACCTTCTGATTCAAGTTTGGCTCTTGCTGCACGACGTTTCAAAATACGATGATACTGTTTAGCATTAACATATAATGGTTCTTCTTCTGTAGCCGTTTCATTTGTCTGCATTTGAACAGCTTGAAGTTGACCAGAATTACCCGGTACCATCTTTGAAAATTAATGTCACATACTAAAAAGCATTCTAGTTTAGAAGTCAGACAATATACCATAATAACAGTTCCATTTTGCTGTAAAGTTGAATTTGTTGTTGCTGTCTGCATTTTTGATGGTGTTGTGGCTAACTGTAATATTTGATTATTACCACCTAGTTGTAATGCACCGGCTGGTATCGTTATTGTTTGTGGCTGCTGTGATGATTGGAGTCCACTTAATTGTAAAACTAGAAAGAGAAATATAAGTTGCTGCATCCTGAAAAAGAAAAACCCTAGAAAATGGCAATATACTTTGTCCACCGACTTGAACATATTGTGCTTGTGTTGACTGTTGCTCAGCACTTTGCAATATAATCAATTGTCCATCGGCTGTTTGTAATATTTGTCCTTGTGGAAGAGTAGTAGCTGTGGATGTTGTAGATGGTGAATTCGTATTCAAAATTATCTAAACGAAAAATTAATTAATCAGTCTAAGTAAAGCAAAGCAAAAGCATTAGAAGCAAACAAATAATTATACTGCTTTAATTAAATTAAAAATCGTAGTTTTTTAGAATTTTTAACACGCGCAGCGAGGAAACAAAATTAAACCATCATATCCCAGAGAAATGAGTGTGTGTACATTATTGGAACGAGTACTTACTCGTTTCTGTGTAAAAGCTGTATTATGTGTTTCTGATCGCTGTCTGCTCTTGGTTTTGCTTCTTTTCCAAGGGTAGAAAGTCACATAATTATTGTTGTTTTCTGTTTTTTACGTATTTCCTTTCTACTTTTGTT